CAGCATATCACAACAGATTCGAGTAAAAGTCACGTTCCTCTAGTTATTACAGAAGGCACAAAATACACAATAAAAGAATTTTCTAGGCAGAATTAACTGATTTTTTTTCATTTTCAAATCACCAAAAAAGTGACATCATGAGGAAATAGCCCTTGATAATCTAACTAGATTATCATTAATCCAATATAAAGTACTATAGGAATACAAAATATTCTCTAGAACACTTAAAATATTGCATAATGAAAAACAAAACATTTCATTTGCTCCTAAAATGTACCTGCAAAACAGTCACTCTGTGATGGGAAAAGAGAACAGCAGCTAATTTTGATGGGAGCATTTTGACAGAAGTTGGTACAATAAGCAGGGAGGCACCACTTGATAGAGCAAGGAATATTTCCACGACAGAAGGATCAAAGGTCAGAGGTGAAGCCAGAAACAAAACATCTTCTTGTGTGATGTCAAAAAGTATCCTAAGGCAAAACAGAACGTAGTTATGAGAAATGCCAAACATTTGGTAAACATCTATCCTAAAAAAGTGTTTATGATGATTAAGTTTCTGAATGTTAGCCAGACTTTACACTTCTCTTTTAAATTAACCAAAGTATTGCTGTCAATTCAGGAAACTGTCTTTACAAAAGTCAGAATAAAAGTCATTTAAAACAATAACCACTTTTTACCAGACATATTTTATCATCTGTGATGACCTTCTGATGTGTCAACTCGTTTGGACTGAACTACAGTCCCCATAATTTCCTCTCCAGCATGTTTTCTATTAAGGTGGGAGATAAGGGATCATCTCTTGAGTTGGAGGACGAAGGGAGACAGCTGCTGCTCGGCAACACACACACACACACCTCCTCCCTGCAGTAATTCAATCAAACCCCAAAGCCCCTAATCAGCTGATTTTAAATTAATCAACTGGAAGATTATCCTGGGTTGGCTGGATTTACTTGGAAGGCCTTTAAAAGAGGGTTTAGCTTTAGGCCTTCTCTGAGAGACCCAAATAGCAGCTAGGTCTGCAATAATCTTCCTTCTCCCTGGATCTAATTTCACCTGCGGACAATCTCATGCCCATGAGGTTCCAGCCTGTTCACGATCACCTTCCTGCCCTATGGACTTTAGACTTGCTCCCACAACTGTGTAAGCCAAATCCTTGTCATAAATCCCTGATATATTCTCCTGCTTCTGCTCTTCTGGTAGAATCCTTGTTGTGTCGTACTTATTCAATGATGCTTAATAGAGACCTCTGACTCCCCTTTCCTACTATTTGGCATTTTCTCTCAGTATGTGAACAAAGAGCAAAACAAGAATATGTGTGGTGTGGATACTACAGAGCCCAGAAATAGTCAGTGTTGAGCCTATGGCACAGCTTTCAATTTGAACACACAAAACCCACTACATCTAAAAGCAAGGATTACCTTACCAAAGACCCAAAGGAAAATTGTACATTTTTTATGCTTAGATTCAGTGAAGAGTGGCCAGCCATGCAGAAATGTGACTGGACCAAACGGGAATGTACTAAACCCAGCAAGCCCAGTCCGGTTAAACCGTTTTTTTTTTTTTAGGGGGACAGAGTGTTGCTCTGTTACCCGGGCTACAGTGCAATGGCGTCATCATAGCTCACTGCAACCTCAAACTCCTGGGCTCAAGCAATCCTTCTGCTTCAGCCTCCCAAGTAGCTGGGACTACAGGCATGCGCCACCATGCCCAGCTAATTTTTCTACTTTTTGTAGAGATGGGGTCTCACTCTTGCTCGGAGTGTTCTCGAACTCCTGGCCTCAAGCAATCCTCCTGCCTTGGCCTCCCAGGGTGCTAGGATTATAGGTCTGAGCCACCAGTCTGTTTAAATTCTTCTTGACCTTTCCGTGTAGCATTCCTTCCTCCTGGGTATAGGGCAGACCCTTCTGGAATGAGGGTCTTGTGATCTACTTTCAGACCAGGTAGGTCAGAGAATGTCTTTATGGCAAGCTCTTACACAGAAAGGTAGAGAAAGCTTAGAGTAATATTTCTAAGTTTTATGACTGGCTTTAGGGGAGAAGGGTTCTGGTTTCTATGACTTGCCTTGGGTAGGAGTGATCCTAATCTCTACGGCCCACCTTGGAAGAAGGGGAAGCAAGATTCCAAAGAAGGGCAGCAAAAGGTCAGAAAGAGACTGCTTCTGAGGCCTCTCTAATGTCCTTGAGTTCAAAGTACTCAGCGTGCTAAAATGGCATACGTTGGGATATCAATTTCTGAGCCCAACAAAGCCTACACTCAAACTTCAACTTTTAAGGGAATTATTCCTCACAAATATTGTCTGGTTTTCTAGTTACATATTTAGGGGAGAGCAAAGTTTCTAACAGGCTTCCAACAAAGCGTAACTCTGAACTTAATTCTGTCTCAATTCTATGAACAAAAATGGGCAATGTTAAGCATACATGCAGGATGAATGCTCCATGGCATTTAATGTCAAGAAAGCAGCTTAAGATGCATTCAATATAAGAAAAGTTGAGGAAAGAGAAGAGACAGATCTTAAAGGAGAAAAAAGGTGAAATGAAA